TTTTGTCGAGAATAAAAAGCCACGCAGTTTCCCTTCTCAATCAAAGTTTTTACAATTTGTGGACTATTTATTTATTGGCGACTGACTCTTTCCAAAAATGATGAACAAATTTGTTATAACTTTACCACTTGCATAGAACTAATTACTTTTGACTGTTTTTTACTTTTCCTTATTAGCCATATTATTATTCTTCAGTTAGCAAAAGCTTTAAGTAAACTCAAAGCAGTGTTGATAATTGATAGTTATGATATTAGAAGTGTAATTTCCGACTGGTGACGACAAAAATAATAAATAACAACAAGTTATAGACGAGCAAGGACAAGTAGTCATAAGTTAACAAATAGTGATAGTAATAATAAGTAATATTTTACTTAGTTATTACAATTAGTATTACTATTATTTATTATTTAGTATTATTATCTACAGAGGGTAAAGAAAGTAGTAAAATAAATAAGTGATAGAAAAACGGACTGCAGAAGCAAATGACAGGCAATGATAGAAGGAACGAATGGCTACAGTTACTTTTTCAAACGTTGCAACAACTTTTTGCGTGTGCAAACGAAATGTGAGAATGACTTTTTTGACCTTTCGTAGCACAGTTCTTACTCAACCGAAGTCTTTTAAATATGAAAACACCAAGTGCATTTATTTACTTTTGTAAGAAATGCATAGAAAACAGTCACTTTCATTTCCATAGAATACTTCTCTAACGCTTTGAATTTTCCATCCACACTTTGCTTTTCCAATCACTGATAGCAAATACTCAGATATGACCGTTACCGTTATTTCAGTTTATTCGTCACACTTTCATACTACTGTCTGAGTACTACAAAGTCTGTAATACGAACAGAGGTGTTGTTATGCAAAAGTCATTAATTATATTATTTATGCATGCGGGCACAAAGTTGTCACTTGTAATACTTTTTCCTCTGAACGTACGCGTTAATTTTTTAATCAGAAAATATACTGCACTTAATTGTCTAATCTAAAAGCTTCTGCTACTGATCACGTATATAGCAAACGGCTTGTCCATGTTGCTGTCGTCAATTCCGTGACATGAATCGTTTGAGAGTAACGGAAAATTCTGGAAACAAATGTAGAGAAAATATTCTGTAACAGTTGTGATATCCTGAAATTCTTTTGCAATTTTCTTTGCCATCAAATTGTATTGACTGATAGTTATTACGGCCGTTCACACTTTGTCACTGATACTCTGTCACAATCGCAGCAAGTAAAAATAGATGGAAAATAGAATTTCTTCAAGACATAATTTAGTTTTTAATACTTATAGTTTATGTGCAATCGATGACGACCAACTCCTCTGCTACTCCATTTGCATTACAGTGAATGATTGTTTTATCGATTTGTCTGTCTTCCATCTACTTATGGAAATACTAAGAAACTGTAAATCTCTCATCAGTATATTACTTTTCAAAAGAAACTATTAGCATCGTGTAATAATTAATTCTTTCAACTGCAACACATATGCATACTTTTCGAAAATTCGAAAAAAATTATGATTTTGCCTTCCCTCAATAAATTAATCTTGGTCAATACTTTTTGCTAACACAAAATTTGTCTTTCTTTAAAAACTTTCTCAAAATAATTCTGCTGTCAAAGACCTAAATGGCACCGGATAAATTTTATCAAAAATATCTTGCTGTAAAGAAAAGGTGTCAGAAACTTGTAAGTTTAGCACTGCAAAAATAATACCCGAAAGAACTTGCGCTTGCTTGTTAAATTCATACGTGCGCAATGTCGATAACGCACGTTTTTCATCTTGAAGAAGAAGAGTGATGAGGTGTGTGGAATGACTATACGATATTAATAATGGAAACAAAGCAAAGCACATAAATATTCCAAGCCAGCCTTGAACTTTCTCCATTTATTATGCAAATCATTCGTGTTTATTACAAAATTTAGTTTGAAAAAATGATTATTTTATTCTCACCGATGTGCGCGACCTGACCGACTCTCTCTCAACAATTTAATACCTCTCTTCTTCCAGTTGTATTACATCTTTTTTCAATACTTTCAATTATTTTCTGAGATTATCTGGGAGTCAAATTTGCTTCAGATTTCTAAGCTATTAATTTGGCATTCTCACAAGTAAGTAAACAATGCCTGCTGTTCATTGAAAGAAATATTTTTATTGATTATCAAAAGATAATAGGAAGGAATACCTATGCCCGCTTTATAAATACCAATACTTGCATGAAGAACTATTTGTGCATAGGGTTTTATAAATCTTGTAAAACACTTATTTTCATATATATTTTGCTCTGTTGCAAATATTATACGCAAATATTAAGAGAATAATTCAAGGAAATCAATTATTATTTATGAAAACATTTTCAAAGTCTTTCCCATAAAAGAAGTTTTGCAATAGGTCAAGTAAACTGACCTTAATAACTTTTGGTAAACTAGAAATTTCTATTCAATGCACAACAAAAGTAAAGCATAAGGAAAGGCTATGTAAACAATTCAGTTAGCCAAAACATAAACAAAGGGGAACTTTTACGATCGGGACCACCTGGAGAGCAAACGGAAAACTTTGCCTGACCTATCAGTTGGCAGGTCAGATAAACTAAAGCAGCAATTACAGCTTACGATAGGTGATGTTGCCCGTATGCATTATTGACACACTACAAATACTTCTGAGAGAGGTACTCAAGTTAGCCCCTTGAAATTCAAACAGATCAAATAAGGCAGGCAAATTGGACATCAAAGTTAGCTCACATAAGCCAATCAAACGGATTTAAAAGAAGGCTTGAGTGAGTCCTATTCTGATTATTACCAGTGAGTTAGAATTCGAAACTGACAGCAAGTACTTGTTATTATCCATTCACTCACTTATTAAGCAAGACTGAGTGAACTTGTAATTATTACTGGCGTCGTTTGCATTTAGTTCATTTTTCGAACGAATTTTGTTCAGCTTTTAACATGAACTTTTATTTATAAAAACTGCAAGCAATTTGCAACGTTTCCCGCTTTCAAATGCCAATTTTATCATTAACTCACTCTAATTTTCCTTACTATTTTAATTATTACGCATTGATAACTTGACTAGAAACACTTAATTCCATTTTTTTGCCTTCAACGGATAATGAGGGACGAATGAAACTGAGAGACTGAAAATACACGCACACACACACGTACATACGCGCACACACAAACGAACAATAAATGCACCCCCGCAGTTACTTGCTGCATTTCATTTCGCTGCTGCTCATTCATTCAGTCGTCCTTCGTTAGTTTCACTTATCTCTGCTACTCTTCTCACACTTCTCTACGTTAATTTGTTTAATTATTCTGGTTTTGATGTAAAAATGAATGACACTTGCTGGGTTATTTACTAAAGGCAGCAAGTAACTTGCAATGCTTGCAGGCCCTTAGAGAATTGTAAGATATTTCCATTCTTTTGACAAAATAAGCCCTATTCGAGAATGCCTTAAGGCCCGTTAAGTTCCTCAATTATGGAAAGAAAGAGAACGATACACCCACAGCCATTCAAATGGCCAATCTAAAGCCAATACAAATGCTTTAAGGCTTTATTCATACCTCCTAGTAACTTTTATTGCAATTCATCTACAAACCTAGTGTTCTCATTACTATCCATCTCCTTGTAAGACTTTGAATTCTTTTTACCCGTATTGTTTTTCATTCTTTGTTTTCCCCAACTTCATAGACCCGTACTCTCTCAGAAGTTTCTCAATCTTTGCTCAGTTTTTTTTATAAATTTTGCATTCGTTTTATCTCCATTTTTCTCAGTAATTAGTTGTTCTCAATCTATTGCTAATACTTTTTTAATGTCAATAATCTCTGCTCCTTTTCTTATTTCACTATTTCTAAACGAAATATTAAGCCTTGAAATTAATTCAGAGCTGTACCATAACAATTGGTGAGCGAAATTCAAATCATAGATTTTGTTAATTCCATGATTACATTCTCTTCCAACTAAACCATGATTCTTCATTCATCAGCAATAATTTCTCAACATTTTTTGAAAAACGATTTTGAACAATTTTTTATTTTTTTAAAATTGATTTGCACAATTTATTAGTTTCAAATCAATCCTTTTAGGTCTTCATTGAATTTCTCATGACTGGTAGAGATTGGGAGCTGATAAAATTTATCAAACTTTCAGTGGACTTGTTAATGTGGTCAATTAAATCAAATTAGTGGGCAGAAATAAGAATTTTCAAGAGAGTCACAAATTTGTTTCCATCCGAACTTATTAATAATTGAATAACTTGTAAACCGAAATTATTGTCCTGATTTTTATTTTTGTTACTTATGTTAGTTATAATTTGTAAAAGATGTATTATTTCCTATTCGTCTGCAATTCTCTTAGAAATTTTCTGGTTCATTTCCGTTTTTATCCATCTATTAATGATAGATGTTTTGCTAAGTGTTCCGCTTCATCTATTTGTAGTGCTTATAGTTGTTTTTATAAGGTTTTCGTGGAAGTTGTATTTGCGAATGCATGAAAATATCATATTTTTATATAATAAATATTTCTGGTATGAAATACTGATTAATTCGTGTGAAATGCATGGAAGTTTTGTGTAATTTCAGGCGTTCTTTTTTGTAAGAAATCTCGAACGACCAGTCGTTCCCTTCAAGTTAATTTTAGTATAATCACAGTACTTCATTCGAATTTATGAGAAGAAAAGATATTGGTTAAGCAATTTTGGCGAACTGCATTGAATGAAAACTATTGTATTCTGTATCGTGACCCTGTCGGAGTATGCGCGAGTTCAAGGTAAGTTGCTTTACGTTGATTTCATTTTGTTTAAGCGTCAAATAATATAAATACTGAGAAAGATTCCATTAGTGAAGCATGTTCATTAACTTATTGTGGGAAGATTTTGTGTTACTCATCTGCTATGTAGATAGGATGATTTGATTATATGAAATTTCATCGCTTTGAAATTTTTGATAAGTAATAGAGTAATTGGAGATAATTGTAATTAATAAACTGTATTTGGTGTATTAATGCCTTTTTGAGGTGGTGGTACTCGGAAGTGGAGGTGTTGGTAAATCAGCCTTGACGGTCCAGTTTGTTTCAAATACATTTATTGAAAAATATGACCCGACAATTGAAGATTTCTACCGAAAAGAAATTGAGGTTTGAACAAATTATTTACAAGTATAGAACAAAAGTACCAGAAAAAAATTTTGATTTCGAATAGCGTTGAAGTAGATAAAAATTTTTAAATGGTCTTGTTCCTCGTTGCATATATTGAAAACGATATCATTTTTACAGAAATTTTAAGCAGTATATTTCTCATGTGTTTGATTTTGTGAATAATTTATAAATTCTAAAGAATACTAGGGCCAAATGACTAACGTATAGTTTTCTCAAAATTTATTAAATGACAGGTAATAAATGTAGGTCATATCAGTTTTAACTCTTAATTATATGGTGAAAGTTATTTTTTTAATGAAGATTTACTACGTATAGCAATTTAATACAAAAATACTTCTTATCAATTACCGAAGAACTTCAGTTATTTTTAAGCATATTAGAAACTTTATCATAATTTAGGTCGATGGGCAGCCGTGTGTATTAGAAATTCTCGATACTGCAGGCACTGAACAGTTCGCCTCAATGCGTGATTTGTATATCAAAAATGGGCAAGGTTTCGTGGTGGTTTATTCAATAACAAGTCAACAAACTTTCCATGACATTAAGACAATGAGAGAACAAATTGTTAGGGTCAAGGTATTTTACTAGATTTTACTATTTTGTAAAAAACTTGCAACTTGGTTTTAATGATTCATCAGTAGCTCTTGTCCATTAGAACTATTTTTATTAAAAGACATTAAAATCTCGAGATTTGTATTAATTCATATCAGGAAGCTCCCTTAGCTTTATTCGAAATTGTGAATTGTTTAGAAAACGAGTAAATAAGAAGTTTATAAAAATTGAAAAGATAGATGAATTATTTTAGGGCACCGATCAAGTACCTATTTTATTGGTGGGCAACAAATGTGATTTAGTTCATCAGCGGCAAGTAAGTATTTTACAGATCTTTGTATTCAGTTTTAAAGTTTGTTGTTCTTACATAACTCATTCCATTAACCTGTTTTAGTCGATGCAATGAAAGCCAATTTCTAAGCATTAAATTAGATATTATTTAAAAAATCGTCTATATTTTTTAGTATTTTTGAGGTCCGCGCAGAAGATGGTCTTGGTTTAGCAGAATACTGGTCTTGTCCATTTACGGAATGCTCAGCAAAAAGTGCGCAGAACGTGAACACAGTATTTGCTGAAATCGTACGTGAAATGAATTATGTTCAAAATATACGCATAAAACAGAGTCAGGGATGTTGTATAGTTCTGTAATTTCGGTTCAATCTTATCCTTTCTCTTAGTTTTTCTCAGTCGCTCACAGTTATTACTTATTTAAATGAAGAAATCAACTTGTCATTTTGTGCATTTTACTTTGCTAAGGTGATTGATGTTAGGGATTATTTTGCGTTTCACAGTTCTTTTTAGACAGTTTTGGAAACTAAAACTCATGCAATGTCTTTCAATTTTTTATTCTTTAGAATAGCCTATTGATCGACCAATTGTGCATAAATTTTTTGAGAAAGTTTGATCTGTTAAATTTTTTTTTCAGTTGCATGAGTCATTTGCCGAAGTATTTGTCATTAAAATCTTTTGTAATTTTTTTGTATCTTTTGTTATTTGGTGTTTTATTTACCTGGCTTAACTTTTTTGAAAACCTCATGTATACTTTCATGCCCTTCTGCAGCACGTTATATTAGCCATTGGAGACGGGTAAGCTAATCTCGAGGATTTTGAGATCACAATACATATAAATTGTGTTATAACCTAGTACAAGTTTGATTTTTCTTTGATTGATGTAGTTATAGACATAAGAAACGCAAATTTGGTGAATATCGAACTGTAAAACATGTGAAATTAGTAATTCAATACATTTTCAGCTTTATTTCGGTACCCAGCAAGATTTAGTCTTTCAGTCAACTTGTTAGTCATTTCAATATGTAGTGTAGGTGAGTATATTGGGTGGTTCTTAAAATTCTTTTAACATTGGTCGAGGAAGCAGTGGTTCTTATGACGTATTAAGGATTTCATGGCAGTGATTTTACACAGAAAAGATACTTTTGTTGTGTTTTCCTCTTCTATGTAACTTGTTTTTGGTCTTCTATGCTTGCTTAGTTTTTCAAAACTCAAAGTTCCTTTCAACTTTTTGATTTCATTGTTCTTATTAGCGCATGTTGCATGACGTAGTCCTAATGTTTCAAGCTGTTTTTCAAGTGCTAGTACCGGTAGAATTTGAGTTTTGAGCGATTTCCTATCGGATAGGAAAGTTTACGTCGTTTGTATTACCTCGTGAACTGTAAAATTTGCTGTATTTCTCTCTTTTATGTTATGAATTTCATTCTTTCCTGTTGTGCATTCTCATGACAGTATGTCAATTATACTTCAGTTTTAGTAACTGCACCTCTTTGATATTTCTCTGCATTTTGTTGCAAATATTGTCCAAGATGAGGCTAAATAATCATTAGTCTGTTGGTAACTCTTGGCAAATTGATCATGTCAGTGCTGCTGCTATCACTGAGATTACTTATAATTTATGCTATGCCTTATACTGGAGAGTTACTTGAGATTTGAAAGCCTTTCGTTGTTTTCATTTCTGTTAGTTTACTTTTGTCCCATGAAATACATATTTAAAGTTGTCCTTTCTCGAATGCGAATAATGAATGATATGTTGCAATGCCTGCAATTCTGCACTTTTGTAAAATTTCCTAAGAAAACAAGTGCACGAATGAAATTGCAAGATTTGATAATTCGGAATATTCCCGTACCATTACTGCAGTAATTAGTTATTTTATAATTACTATGGTTCATATGTAAATAATAACTAGAAATAAATGAATTTGAGTTTGTAGATTTGATCTGAAAGTCATCGTCTTTGTTACGATTCGATAGATCAGGCAGCAGATCCTTATTATAATGATCTCACGTAATTAGCAAACATTTTCCGTTAGCCCTATTTTGTTAAAATGTTGAGTAAGTTACTGTTATGAATGAAGCGTTTATCACATTCCGTATAAACATTATATAATATGGGATCTAAAAGAGTGTTATTTTAATGTGGTATATAACTAATACCGCGTTTATATCATTAAAGGTGCAGCGATTTTGAAGCTGGAGAGGGCTACTTAGAAGTTATTGTGCTCTACCTTCAGAGTAAATACAACCTTGCAAAAAATTGAACCGTTGAAATTGTATTAGCAACCTGGAAAGCGCTCTTCTATAGTAAAGTATAAAGGGTAAAGGTAATCAAGAGGCAGACGAATAAGCTGTCATCAATGGCTGGTTCATGTGGATACGGAAGCGCTGCTCTACATGATGAAGTGCAAAACTGTTATTTCCAAAATAGAAATATGTATGGAGCTGAGTAAGGTATGAGCCAATATTCATTGTAGGGAACATGTGAAGACGGTGGATATCTAGCAACACTGTGAAGAAATGTTATATTACGACTATACTATAAGACACAATGAGGTCCTGCGATGCATCTATTTAGCACTTCTTCTTAGAAGTGTGGTCTGGAAGCATTCTAGAGCATTCGAAGCCACTGTTTCAGGAAGTCGTCGCTATGAAAACGTGGAGATCAAAGTCGTTTGATACGCGAGTAAGGACAGCTATAAAAACAAGTAAGGACCGATCGGATATCATGATACACGATAGATACACGAAGTACTGATAGGGGTTGGTATCAATGACCAGGACAGGTTGACAGAAGTCGAGACCGAAAAAACGCAAATATGACTTACTGGCTAATAAGCTTGGGTCAGAGATGAAAAGCAGAACCAAAATCTTTATGTGATTACTTGGGTTGGGATAGTGACAAATTTCCACAAACGGTACTCGGAGGTCAGTATAACTAATTAGTCTAGGCATGCATTCAATCGATAGTTCTCAAAAAAATGTAAACATCTCATTCGATCAGCCCCAGGATTCGACGAAGACGGAGCCACGGAGATTAGCGCAGCGAAACTAAGTGCGAGGTGAGTACAACGATAGTGCCGCAATGCGAAATAGCGCCAGAATCAATAATGCATAAAATAGAATAACCTCCGTGTGATATTGATTGATATATATGAAAAGTTTGTTGTAACACTGAAAAAATTTATTGCAAGGATCGTAGAATACTTTTAGATCATGGAATACTTCTCTCTTTTGAAATTACTTTTGCCATACAGAATTTATGATGTCTTTGTTTTCGGCAAGTGTTACTAGAAAGGTGAAACTGAAACCAGTGTTATTGATTGTTGTAGGGCGAAACGCGTTACAATTTCCGGTCCATTCTGTAAGGAATGCTCAGTGGAATTGATTATGGTATCAGTTTACTTTACCTTCCAGTCGTGCAAGAGATTGCGAAATCCAGTAATTTTATTGTCAATATCATGTTTGCAGTTTTGGCTTTTTCGAAGTTGTGCATAAAATTAGATTTTGTGTGAATATGAATGGGATGTATTTTTTTCTATTGGCTTTTTCGAAGTTGTAAGGAGTTTCAAAGTTGGAGAATAAACAGTCATTATTCTCCAAGTTTCTTCGACATTAAATTATTTGCCATTCACAAAGGTCATGGTGCTTTCCTTCCGTTATTCCTGATCGTTACTGTCAGTAAGTAAGGAGTTTCAAAGTTCTTTGTACCTGTACTCGGTGTCAGTCTTGTTAATTTTTGTGTCGAAGATCAGAAAATTTTCGACTATTCTGTGAAAAAATGTTAATGCTTATAATGGTAGAAGAATTCGATATACTTCTTGCGTGTTGTTTCTCGCGTTGCTAACGCAAGGAAGTATATGAGATGATGGAATTATGATTGTTCGTCAATCGTGAAATCTGACGTAAATTCACTTGCAGGAATAAACAGTCATATTAATGGTATTTCCTATGATACGGAATGCAGTAGTGTCTGCTGCACATCCATGCAAATGGGCATTAATAGCATCTTCAAATGTCACTTTACTTCTTCCATCTATTTTGGGACTACAGCAACATCGAGGTAAGATTCAAAACGTCAAGTATGTCATAATTTTTTAAATTATTACTCGTCATATAAAACGTATTGCTATGTTTCTTATTGTTTAAGCCATTTCTGCAGATTCACCAGTCTTAAATTTTGTAAGTAATTATTTCAGATTTTTTCTCATTTCTACTGTTACGTTGATAGTGTTAGAAAATTTAGAAAATAATATAAGGATATCTACTAATAAACAATCATGTTGAGTTTACATCGTCATTTCTCTGTTATTTTCGAAAAATAAAATAATCATGTTGAGTATACATACGTTCACTGTCGATTATTGAAGAAAGGGAAAAACTTTCTATTCAAAATTAATTTGCAGGTCGTAAGAGGAACTTGAAACGAGGTCTCACTAAACAAGAAAGACAAGAAAGACGATTGAAACGAGAAGCAAAAGAAGCGGAGCGGAAGAAATATAGTTTTATGCAAAGGATAAAGATATCACGGATGAGAAACATGTAGTTAATAATTTACTGTGAAGAGTAAAATTAAGTATGTGACTTCTGAAAAAAATACTATATTTATTTGTTTTCAGGACTTCAATTTCAGAACAGTTCCCAGGTCGACTGGATGCAGGAAAAGAAGCACATTTACCTGATAAACCAACAACAAATATTTTCATTCGAAGTGCCTACAAAACTCAGTACTACTCAGTTTCAGAAGCGTTACAAATGCACAGGTGAAAAATTTACGCACTTCAATCACATTCACATCATCTTCGAAATTATTATAGTGTATATCAAAGTTTTGTGTAATAATTTTGTCTAAAAACGCATGTGTTAACGGGAAGTGACTTTTCTTTATCAGATGCATAAATTTATTTATTGGTCCAAAATTTATAGAGAAATGCAGCAACCATCAATTTATAATAATCCAAATGCTCGAGTGCGTTTGCGTATGGAGCTTAACATGGCGACAGAGAAAAAGGTATACTTTAAAACATAGCACAAATATGTTTACTTGTTTTACTTAATTTTAATGTTATAGACGAAGATGGTTGCCGATTCAGAAGAAGTAGTGCCAATTCCATATCCTTTTAAGCACAACGAAAAGCGAACAATTTTGGCGTTTGCTTCGGAACAGCGTAATCGAGACGCAGCTGTTGAAGCAGGCGCCGAAATAGCTTTAGGTCCTGATATGATTAAAAAGGTTTGAGAAGTATTTGTTACTATGAAGTTGAAAAACGAAATCTAATTGGTCTGATTTCAGTATAAAAAAATTTCGGTGGATAAATTGGAATATATTCAGATTTATCTTCGTCTGTTGTTTTTACCTCCCATTTTTGCAAAAATAAAATTTTTTGAAATTTTAAGTTCTAAGAAAATCTTCCTGTCACAAAATGAGTGTTGCATTTTTATCGACATTCACTTTTTAAGGCATGCTTCTCACTGCGTATTGCTAATATATTTGGATTGATGAGTATTAAATATACATTATTTTCACATATAATTTTAATATAGTCATGCTGCTACTAAATGAAAAATTAGTTGCTTATAAATAGCTGATCATTCTTCATGTTCATAAGTATCCAGATAATCAAAGGGATGTTTCGCATTGATGACTACGACTTTTGCGTAGCCCATACAGATATGGCGTCTAGTATTTTACCTTTACGAGGATTATTAAAGTCACGTTTCCCAAACAGGATCAACGGTACGAATTTAATGTTTGGAAGATCTATATGTTGTAAAGATTATTTTTCAGGTGCCACTAGTTAATCATTAAACATTTTCGGCTAATCCATTTCAAAAAAATTCACTTCTGTTTGTTGCTGAATCTTGCAACTGGATCTCTTCATTATCTTCTTGTGTTAGAAATCTAGATTTAAATGTATTCTTCATTTAGGATATTCAAATAACATGCATACCAATATTTATCTCATTTTAAAATGAAACAACTCGAACCAAGTAAAGGACTTTTTACTTGATTCCGAAAACATATGCAAGTCACTTTTTAGGTGGCCTTAGTGATGATTTCCAAGAAAGTGTCGGTAAGTTCAGAGACGGCGTCAAGTTGACGATTCGAGGTGATCCAGTTATACCTATATGGGGTTTATGTGATACTGTCGTAGGACGAGTAAGTTAAAGTAGTTTAAATGAATTATCACCACATATTTTAAACTGAAGCATGAAATTTCGATGTTTTTGTCACATTCGCATTCTTATGACTGAGAAAGGTTAGACAGTTTTGACCATTCCCAGTTGTCAATGACTGATGAAGAACTAGAAGCGAATATTGCATCTGTAATTGGAGCTCTATGCAAGCATCGCAATCCTGCTTTGGGTGAGTTCTTTAATTTAGCTTAATAATTGCATTTTATGACTGATGGACTCTTTGCTTATTACGGAAAGGAAATCGCATAAAACATATCGAAACTAATAGATTAGTAAAGGTCTATTTCATTTGCTCAATAAATTCAAGACTTTCTTTACTATTATTGTGCTTTGTTATTAAACATTTATTGAATCAAATTTTTAGTGTAATAATTGACCTAAGGGTCTTTCCTTACACTAACTTATAGTCATGATTGAAGTATTGATTTTATATATATCGAAATCTTTTCCAGGTCCTTTCATCAATCGGGCACTTTTGATGGTTTTACCGGGCGATGCTCACTTTGCTTTAAATGTGAATCCATTTCTACCAGTTCCAACAGAACAAGAAATCGAACGAGTATGCAATACTTCAATTCAAGATACAAGTCCCAATGAATTATTAGTCTTACTGGTTACTTTTTAGATTGAAAAACGGACAAGAAAGAAGAAGAAGACAGAAGTGAAAGAAACTATTAGTGCAATAAATCTGACCGAGGCAGAATCCTGATTAACGTCATGCATGCCTCACAGGCACTTTCCGTTCATTGTTTTGTTTGCCAATGTTGCATCCTGGTCTCTTAATTCTTTTATATTATCTTACAATTTAAAGAATAATTGCAGAATGTGATACCATAAATACCCAAATACACTTTATACCTACTGTATAGAACATGTTCTTAA